AGCTTATGCATAGGATGTGTATACTTGAATAAATACCCAGAACCCAAACAAAACTACACAGAACAAATGGCAGCACTAGCTACTAAGCATGGGGTTAGGATACAGCAGGCTAGATGTGAACTTTGCTCCTTATGTGTCCTGGTTAGTCTTTGTCAACTTGACCGTAGCTAGAGTGATCTGGGAAGAGGAACTTCAGTTGAGAAAATGCTTTCATCAGACTGCCTGAAGGCAAGTCTGTAGGGAATTTTTTAAATTAATGATTGAAGTGAAAGGGCCTAGATTATTGTAGGTGGTGCCACCCCTGGGCAGATGGTTCTGTGTGGCATAAGAAAACAGGTTAAGCAAGCCAGGAGGGCAAGCCAGTACGCAGCACTCTGTGGTCCTGCATGAGTTCCTACTTCCTTTCATGATGAATTACAACTGTCAGCTGAAATAAACTCTTTCCTCCCCAAGCTGCTTTTAGCCATGGTGTTTATCACAGCAACAGAAAATCTAACCATACAAAAACATCTGATAAAAATCACTCACTACCTGTAATGCCCTAGAAAGTAAACCATACAACAAATGAGCATACAACCACAGAGGAAAGGGCTAACAAAATTTACATTGTGTTCACTTATTTCTTGCATTTAGCAAAATCCTAAAAGAAGAAATGAGAACAGGATAAAACCGGGAACATTTCTTTTCTTTCTTTCTTTTTTTCTTATTATGACAGGGTCCCATTTAACCCAAGCTGCGTTTTGTATATCTGAACTCCTGATCGTCCTGCCTCTACCCACTTCTGGAGTGCTGAAATTATAAACCCACAACACCATTCCTGGTTTATATAGTGCTGGGGATCAAATCTAAAGGACTTCACATATGCTAGATAAGCATTCTAACAACAAGCTACTGCCTGGAAGGGAACAGTCCTTTGCCTGTGGTTGGCAAACTAACATCTAGGGTTTAGTTATTTGGATCATGTATCCAGGTTCTCAGCATACCAATTTGAGTAGTAGTATAAAGTGATTTCACAAAGCGCCAGGTCTAGAAAGATGGCTCAACAGTTAAGAGTGCATGTAGCTCCTGCAAAGGACCTGAGTCAGCATCCACATCAGGTGGCTGGCACCCATCTCTAACTCTAGTTTGAGGGAATCCATTGCCCTCTTCTGGCCTCTACTGCACTGTACTCATGTGTACAAACTCACATAAAGACACCCACATATGCAAATAATTTAATAAAATCTTGATGAAATGAGATGAAGGGCGGAGTTAAGCCAGTCACTGAGGAAGCAGGATGTGAAAAAAAAAAAGAGGTAACAAGCCATGAGCCATGGCAAAGCATAGATAGAAAATATGGATTAATTAAATGTAAGAGTTAGCCAGTATAAGCCTGAGTTATTGGCTAAGCATTTGTAAGTAATGTTAATTCTGTGTTGGTTATTTAGGACTGGAAGCTGGAATTGGGAAAGAAATCTTGAGTTAGATTCCAGCCTGGTCCACAGAGTGAGTTCCAGGACAGCTAGAGCTACACACATAAACCCTATCTTGAAAAACCAAAGTAGGGGAGGAACAGAGGACTAGAAAATCTCCTGCAAGACTGTGTCTTCTAGAAATAATAGGTCAGCTTCACCTATTACACCTCAGTAATATGGCTGCCTAAATAACACCTGAACAAGAGCAATAACAGTAGGCATGGGTGGGGAAATTTCACAGGGCCTAACCCTAGGTTAGACCAAGAACTACAGGCAGCTAAGAGATGCTGACAGCAGAAGTAATCTTCCCTTAGAGACGAGCCCCTTATGGAATACCATGTGGCTAACCCTGAAATTATGTTCATTTATTGAAAAGACTCGGCAGGTTGTATTTATATATTTATACGTACATACATACATATATATATATATATATATACATGTATGTGTGTGTTTGTATCAATAACAATTTTTAAAAGGAGGCCAGGAATTTGAAAGGAAGAAGATGGAGGAGTTGGAAAAAAAGGGAATGGAGGGAAATGATGCAATTGTATTTTAAGAAAAATATGATATATTTAAAGTTTAGTGTTTGCATATGAGGCATTGAGATTTAAAGTAAAATTTTGTTCTGTTAAGAAAAGTTAGATAAAACTTAATACTTATTCCACTGAATTTTTAAAATGAAAAGGAGTTTGTGTTCATGTCATTATTTTCTCAATAAACTTGTCTTAATTTAAAAAAAGAGAGGTTAAGATAGCAGGATATGAGGGGATATGTTAAAAATACATTAAATACTTGTATGAAAATGGCCTTATGTAACCCATGCTATAATTTTTAAAAATCTAACAATGTCAGACCTATAATTCTAGTACTTGGGAGTCAGAGACAGGCAGACTCAAGCAGCCTGGTCTATATAGTAAGCTCCAGGCCAACCAGGGATGCCTAGCAAGATGCTGTCTCGAAACGACAATAAAAAAAATACTTTTTTTTGGGGAAAAAGTATGTGTGTGGTAGGAAAGTGCACACATGATCTCAAGTCTGTAATTTGACATGTTTCATTATTAAAACAAATTTAAAGTTTTTGTTTGTTTAGGATAATTAGATTGCTTATAAAAATAAAAACTTCAATCCTTCCTGAGAACCACTTCAAACGAGGTTATGAGGGAAAAAAGCAAGGTAGGTCCTTGCACAGGAAAGTCAGATATTGTAGTCTTCTAATCTTTATTTTTTTATTTATTTTTTTTATTGAAAAAAAATTTCCGCCTCCTCCCAGCCTCCCATTTCCCTCCCCCTCCTCCCACTCCAGGGTTTCTCTGTGGCTTTGGAGCCTGTCCTGGAACTTGCTCTTGTAGACCAGGCTGGCCTCGAACTCACAGAGATCCGCCTGCCTCTGCCTCTGCCTCCCAAGTGCTGGGATTAAAGGCGTGCGCTACCACCGCCTGGCTATCTTCTAATCTTTAAAAAAAAAAATGCAGTACTTCCATCTAATTTGCTTTGTGGCATAAAAATAGGCACATCAAAATTAGCCCTTGTCCTTCTTGCTTCGATATGACCTTCTTGGCTAATGTCATTGCCTTACCTGTCTTCAGTCATGAGAAATCTCCAGCTTGATTGGGAAATATCCTCAACTAAACATGATTATGCAAGCTCACTCACAAGATAGATAACCTTAGTCAGTCTGAGCACCATCTTTGTTTGTGATCCAGACTGACCTCAAACTCACAATGTGTCTCCCCCCAGTGCAGGGCTCATGGAGTGTGCCACCATGACAGACCCTGAGCACTACCATCTCCATCATACTTTTGGGGAAATTTTCAAACAAGTTCTTAATATTTAAAAATAGGTTAGTGACAAATTTGGTTAACTAATTTTGCTTGTATTGCAGGCATCTGACATGCATTTAACTTGAGGTGTTTGTTTGTTTTTAGTGCTGTGGTTTAATCTAGATAAGTGTTTAACCAATAAGTTACATCCTTAACCTGCATTTTGTGTATTGCAGCTGTGTTTTACTCTGCAGCACAGGTCGGCCTTGATCTACAATAGCATCATCAGTTCTCCTGTGTCAACTTCCCAATGCTGATAAAAGGCGTGAGCCACCATATCTGGCTAATTTGAGACGATTACATTAGCCACTGCAAGCAAGATATAGTGGCACATGCCCACAATTTCAACACTCAAGAGGCAGGAGGATTATGAATTCAAAACCACCCTAGGCTGCACAGTGAGTTCCATGTCAGCTGGTAATACCTAGCAAGATCCTATCTAAAAAAGAAAAGAAAGAAGAAAAAATGTTCACTGCAGGGTACAGTGATTTGGATAATAGAAAACACTTTTAGATAAACATGCCTTTAATCCCAGCACTCGGGAAGCAGGGGCAAGCAGATCTCTGTGAGTTGGAGGCCAGCCTGGTTTACAGAGCGAGTTCCACAACAGGTTCCAAAAGATACAGAGAAACGCTGTCTCAAAAAACCAAAAACCAAACCAAACCAAACCACCCTCCCACCAAAAAAAAAAAAAGCAGATCAAACTTGGGTCTGGTAGTATGTGTCTGCATATTAATTAGGCTGATACATAAGAATCACTGCTCCAGTTTGAGGGCAGCCTGGGATGACCCCATCTCAAAAAAAGAACCACCTGCCCTGGTCTACAAGAGCTAGTTACAGGACAGGCTCCAAAGCTACAGCAAAACCCTGTGTCAAAAAAAAAAAAAGAAAAAAGAAAAAGAAAAAGAAACACCTGCAAGTGCCCCAGTGTCCAATATATAACTAGACTCCTATAAACCACACATACAAAGAAAATGCCACTTATACAGATTCATTCTTCAAAGTATATTTATAATGTACTCAAGGTATTATCTTTAATGTCATCAAATATTCTTGTGTCACAATTTAAATACATTCCCTGTTGTTTGTTAATAAGATAAGTAAGATCTTTAGCATCTGAAGATGATTATTAAATTCCCCTTTGTCTTTTCTGTTCTTCATAGTCTAAAAGCCTATGCTTTTCTTTAACATATACAATATTTTGAAAGCTCATATTCTTTCATTTCTTATCTTAAATATGTGGAGGCATGGGGATGCATGCATGTGCACTCACACAGAGGCCGGAAGCCTCCAGCTTCTCTATTACTCTCCCCTCATCCCTTGAGATGGGCTCTCTGCGAACTGAAACTAGGCTGGTGGCCAGTAAGTCCCAGTAATCAGTTCTAGGCTACAAGACAATGCCGACTTGCCTGGCTTTTAAAATGTGAGTCATGGAGAGTTGAGCTCCTGTCCCTACACTAGCACAGCAAGTGCTTTACTTGCTGAGCCATCTCCCCAGTTCCCCGAAACCTCCAGTTCTTCTATGCACTGTTAGAAAACAACCACTGCATACATTACAGAACTAGTTTAAACCACAACTATATAAAACAGCAACATGAGAGACATAATAATTATAAATAATAAAGATCCATACAAATTACCATCATATGTAATTATACACTGAGGCTCTGGTTCTAGCATTTTAGAGCTGTTCATTCAAGAGCTTACACTATTTCACCCTTACCAGGGGACTTTCCTCGTGAGTTGCTTCTCCGCTCTCTGTATCTGGTTGGAGTGGATAAGCCTGTGTCTTTACTAGCCTTGCTAGCAGGCCCCATTTCTGAAATAAGGAATCCCATTTGTTCTGAAGGCAATATATTCTCCTGTGGATTGGCCTGGCATTTTATACTGCTATCCACCTAAAATATTAAACACACTTATTATTCCCAAATATCTACAAAAAGTTAATATATATTATCAGAGAAGTTCTATTATAGGAACAGGATTCTGCAAACACGTTTTCCTGCTTATGAAGGGCATTACCCTTAACTGTGTTGACTTATCTAAATACTCACTAGTAAGATGTACATTTTCCACATACTCAAGTCAGTGAAATGCATATGAAGCTAAAATATTTACTGGTGAGCAGAGAAAGATCTACCATGTAGCTGGATAAGTTTTATGACTTATACCAGTAAGACATCTTACATAACTGGTGAAAACTCTACCCTTTCACTTTAGCGTGTGTGCAAGTTGACGCCCTTCCTCGTTGGTGACCTTGGATGGTCACAAATAAGCATGATCCTCCTGGATAGTGACACTGGGGAATGGACACTATCTTACTAATTTTATATTCTGTATTAAAGATGGTATCAAAACTGTTTATGCTTCATTCTCTATAAAATCTCTATCCATCCTGTTTATAAATGAGTTTCTTTGGTTCCAAAATTTTCTTTGGAATGTTAAAACCCTTTGTCAAAATAATCAACTTCTGCTATGCTCTTCTTTATGTTTATTTAAAATATAACTGTATTATTATATGAAGCTAAAAGTTAAAATTTAGCTTTCAGGAAGAACTATGATAGTTAAGTATATTAAGGAAAACACTGTATATTCATTCAGTTTAAGATATGCAATTCAGTAGTTCACATATAACCATGAAGATACTAAATATTTTATATTTCTAGAGGCATATTTCAAATTTAATGAGGCTATCTTTACTGGACTTATATCAACTTAATACATATTTTAATAGTCTCAAAAATGACAATGAATTGAAAGAAATCTAAAAACATTTAGGATAGGGTATAACCTAGTGAGTGCTACAATTCTTACTTAGGTACTGAAATTACATCAGCTGAGTATATCTTTCAGTATATCCAAATACAATAGCGTAATCAGAATGGGCAAAGCCCAATATTCTATCCCCAGCTAATTCTACTGCCACCACTAAGAAAAAGGGAGTGGAAGTGAGAAAATGCAATAAAAATCTTGATTACATATATTTAGATATTTTAGAAAGAACTACCTATAACAAGACTAGAGATTCAAGCCACTCTTGACTAAAATGTGAATTCCTGGCCAGCATGGACTTCCTGGATGCATACAATAATTATAGATATGTCTTATCTCCTTGAGACTGAGCATCAATTGTCACCCAGGCTGGCCTGGGTCTTGTGGCACCCTTCCCACCTCAGCATCCCAAGAGCTGGGTTACTTTGGATGTACTTTTGATTAACTAGTTTTTGTTTAATTGATTAAGGGATGCAAGATTAATAAGAAACCTGAACCCAATAAAATCAATAGAGTTTTGTAATGTTATTTAAATAAAAAAACAAACGGGGCTGGAGAGATGGCTCTGCAGTTAAGAGCACTGGCTGCTGTTGCAGAGAATCCAAGTTCAATTCCCAGCATCCACAAGGCATCTAACAACTCTCTGTAACCCCAGTTCCAGGGGATCTGATACCTTCCCCTGACCTCTAATGATATCGAGGAAACATATATGTGGGCAAAACACTCATACACATAACATAAAATGAATAAATAATTTTAAAAAGAAAGAAATGACCTGCAACTTTATCCTTACTTCCATCTACAGAGAGCTAAGAAAGTCATCACACACGTCAAGTAGACCACTATTCTAGTTGGTGAAGTTATATCAGCTGGACATATCTTTTAGTGTATCCAAACTAAGGTAAGGCAAGGGACAAAACTCAAGGAATATCCAACATGAAATTATATTTTCTTTTTCAATTTTAATTATTTATTTATTTATTTTTGGATTTTCGAGACAGGGTTTCTCTGTAGCTTTTGGTTCCTGTCCTGGAACTAGCTCTTGTAGACCAGGCTGGCCTCGAACTCACAGAGATCCGCCTGCCTCTGCCTCCCAAGTGCTGGGATTAAAGGCGTGAGCCACCACCACCCGGCGATTTTAATTTTTTTTTTCCAGATCAGGTCTATCTATATGCCCAGGCTGACCTTGAACTCACTATAAAGCTCAGCAAGTTCTCAAACTCCCAGCAATCCTCCTGCTTCCACCTCTTAGGTGTTGGGATATAGGCAAGTGCCAATAGGCTACAAATAGTATTTAGACCTTAATCAATCTGATTGCTTCTCTAGAGGTTTATTTCAGACTACCACAGTTGGGGAATAGTTACGGTTAAAGTAACTTCCTTTTTTTTTTTTTTTTTTTTTTTTTTGCTTAATCATTACGACTTTATGACACAATCCCTTTGGAAACCACAATAAACTGATATTAAATGCGAATAACATCTAAACAAACTCTTAGCTAACATCTTTAGCAAGAAACATTGTGTACTGTGAACTTAGTACTCTTGCTTGTACTCTTACCTGTTGTGTGCTGAACGGTAGCCCTTCCTGCACAAATACTACTGAAGACGGAGATGGGTTATGATTTAGCTGCTCCTTCAGTTTGACATGACTTTGCTGGATGGTTGCAGATTCCTGCATTGTGCTATTTTCCAAAGGTTGAGCTGTGTGGATGGTATAGATGTACTCAGGTGACTGTGGTAGAGAGCAGGTAATTGCTTGTTCTGTTCCAACCACAAAAGACGTAATATCTGAGCCTACAGGAGTAAGTGGCTCCAGCTGGCTAGCCTGATTTGTGGAAGATGGATTGCTGTTGTTTGAGTTAGGTAAGATATGCTGGCCTCTGTTAGACTGAGATGATGGACACTGATTCTCAACAGGCTCCACCTTTACCATCTCCAATTTAGGGGAGGAATGCAACTCATCTACTATTTGAAAGACAGCCTCTAGATTTACTTCTGTCTTTTTATTTTCATCAGTAGCACTGCAAGGCCAATTAGAAGGCAGAAATTCAACTGGATAGGAAGATTGCATTGGAGGATTCTGGGAAAAGAGAAAATAGTACTGTATGGATAGAAAATCAGGTAGGAAAATAGTAACATTTAAGTTCATGAATGCTAAAAACAGTAAACTTGAGCTCACCAAAGCCTGAAAGTGGAACTAGGAATGTGGCTCAATGGTAGAGCAATGCCTAGCACACTCAGGCCTAGGTTCAGTTACCAACATCAAAAAAGAAAAAAATCCCTGAAGGTTAATTTGCTTTTCAGCAGTGGTAGTTTCAAATATATTATTAATTAATAACATTTGCTTAATATATATATCATACACAAACCTGTAAGTTTAGTTTTGGAATGGACTGCTAATTCTCAGGATAAAAAAAAAATACCAAAAGGCTATAGTACCCAAATACCAATTTGCAGACCAAACATCTATCTACTACAATTCCTCAATGAAGGCAGACAAAATGTCACTCTTACTTATCATACACTATTTAAGGAGTAAGAACATTTTAAACATAGACTAAGTCCATCAATCATTCTATATCGTTCAAGGGAAGCACTAATACTCAGTTCCAAATAACCTGGGGGAAAATGTATGGAACGGTTCCTGAGATTGTTTTAAATAATAATGACTAGGAGAGTTGTTGCTTTTAGATTCATATCTTTAAGATATATTCTCTTAACAGAGTGTGATGGAGCACACTTTTAATCCCAGAATTTGGGAAGGAGATACAGGAGGAACACAGGTTTGAAGTCAGCCTGATCTACACTGTAAGTTTCAGGACATCCAGGGCTACATAGATAGACCCTAGTTCAAAAAAATTTTAAATGATATGTTCATATAAATAGTGCTTTAGGGCTGGAGAGACGTCTCAGAGGTTAAGAGCATGGGCTGCTCTTTCAGAGGTCCTGAGTTCAATTCCTAGCAACCTCATGCACAACTATCTATAATGAGATCTGGTGCCCTATTCTAGCATGCAGACACACATGCAGGCAGAACACTGCATACATAATAAAGAAATAAAGCTTTAAAAAATAGGGGGCTGGAGAGATGGCTCAGAGGTTAAGAGCATTGCCTGCTCTTCCAAAGATCCTGAGTTCAATTCCCAGCAACCACATGGTGGCTCACAACCATCTGTAATGAGGTCTGGTGCCCTCTTCTGGCCTTCAGGCATACACAGAGACAGAATATTGTATACATAATAAATGAATAAATATTTTAAAAAAATAATAATAAATAAGTGCCCAGAGGTGGTGGTGCACGCATTTAATCCCAGCACTCAGGAGGCAGAGGCAGGCAGATCTCTGTGAGTTCGAGGCCAGCCTGGTCTACAAGAGCTAGTTCCAGGACAGGCTCCAAAAGCTACAGAGAAACCCTGTCTCAAACCCCCTCACCCAAAAAAATTATATAAATAAATAAATAAATAAATTGTACTTTAACTAGAGTAGACATTCAATAGATGCCATATTATTTCAGATTATAAACAGAAGTGCAGAAGAACTATAATTAAATAAAACATAGGATGAGTTGATATTGTTGAACATATTATAAGAATTCGGTTGCTGTTTAGAATAAATAATGTAAACTCAAATAGTGTAAGCATCAAGTTATTACAGTCAATATCACCATTTGAGTTCTTAAGTATGTTTCAAACACATGCTAAGTGCTTTGCAGACATTACTTCATTTAATCCTCAAGAGCCCTCTGAAATGTGATGTTCTTCATTCATTTTCTTTTTTTCTTTTTTTTAAAGATTTATTTATTAATTTATTTAGTATCCTGCCTGTAGGCCAGAAGAAGGCACCAAATCTCGTTATAGGTTGTTGTGAGCCACCACGTGGTTGCTGGGAATTGAACTCAGGACCTCTGGAAGAGCAGTCAGTGCTCTTAACCGCTGAGCCATCTCTCCAGCCCTCTTTTTTCTTTCTTGTTCACCCTCTCACCCCACCCCCATCTAATCCTCAGAGAGGGGAGGGCACACCGCCCTGTAGAAGGTCTAAGGCCCTCCCTACTATATCTAGGATAAGCAAGGTATACATACAAGGAGAATAGGATCCCAGTACATGCAATAGGGATAAATCCTGGTGCCACTGCCAGTGGCCCCTCAGTCTGCCCCATTCAGAGGAACTAGTTTGGCCCTATGCTTGTTCCTTCCCAGTCTGGCTGGAGTTGGTGAGCTCCCATTAGCTCAGGCAAACTGTTTCAGTGGGTGAACCCTTCATGGTCTTGATCTCCTTGCTCATATTCTCATTCCTCTCACTCTTCAATTGGTCTTTGGGAGCTCAGTCCAGTGCTCCGATGTGGGTCTTTGCCTCTGCCTCCATCAGTTGCTGGATAATTTTATTTCTTTACATCTAAGGCTGGCCTCAAACTTCTATCCTACAGGAGAACAGAGAATGGCCTTGAACTTCTGACCTTCCTACTTCCACGTGTTCTAAGAATTCTAAGATTACAGTCACGTGACTCACACCCTGTTTATAAGGTCCTAATCAAAGCTAGGGCTTCATGCATCTGCCAACTAAGTTACACCCTCAGTACAATGATTTCCATTTTAAAATGATAAAATTTACTCTATCATTTAAATATCTATTTATTATTGTGGTGGGTGATGTGTATACCATGGCATGCAGCCCTGTGAAGTCTGCTCTCTCTACCTTTACATGGGTTCTAGGACTCAAATTCAGGTCCTCAGGCTTACATTGAACCATCCTACTGGTCTTACTTTATCATGTTTGTTTTTTGTTTGTTTGTTTGCTTCCTTGCCTTGTTTTTTGTTTTGAGACAGGATCTTGATACAGAGCCCAAGCTAGCCTGGAACTCACTATGTAACTCAGGCTATTCTGAAACTTGAAACCTCCTGCCTCTATCTTCTGGGTGTTGAAATTACAGGAATGTGTAATCGGGCCTAGCTAAAAACTGGTTTTGAAATAACTGACAGAGCCTGGGTCCAAGCTTAGGTTTGCTTGACTTCTGCTATTAACCACGGCAACAGACTGATCTTTTTTCCTCCAGAATTTTTTATTTACTCTGTGTATATGTGTGTGTGTATGCGCATGCATGCATGCCACCAAAGGGTGCATATGGAGGTTGAAAGACAACTTCTAGGAGTCTGTTATTATCTCCTTCCACCATTTGGGCCCTGGGGGTTGAATTCATGTTGTCTAACTTGGTGGTAAACACCTTTACCTGCTGAGACATCTTGCTGGCCAGTCCTACATTGACTTTTCATGCAACTGCCAACAAGGCCACTAAATTTATCACATAGATTTCTGTTTTGCTTTTCATCTTTCTATGCGGGACTTTCTCTATGTAGTACTGGCTGTCCTGGAACTCACTCTGTAAACCAGGTTGGCCTCAAACTCACAGGTTCTGCCTGCCTCTGCCTCCTGAGCGTTGGAATTAAAGACATATGCCATTAAATCTGGTACTTATTATATTGAATAATCAAAAGAATCTGAAATGCTTTGTGTTTTCCCATTTTTAAATGGGAAATCTGTAGTGGGATCTGATGCCCTCTTCTGACATAAAGTTGATAGAGCACTCACGTACATAAAATAAATAAATAAAATTCTTAAAAATATGGCCAACTAAAGGCGGGGCGGTGGTGGTGCACACCTTTAGTCCAAGCACTTGGGAGGTAGAGGCAGGTGGATCTGTGAGTTCAATGCCAGTCTGGTTTATATAGCAAGTTCCAAGACAGCTAGGGCTACACAGTAGAAAATAAAATAGCCAGCTAAGCCAAATGTGGTTGTTGACACCTGTAATCCCAGCATGCAGGAGGCTGAATGATTTTCACGAATTCAAAGCTAGCCTGAGCATTCCAGGACAGCATAGGCTATAGACAGAAACGAGAGAGAGAGAGAGAGAGAGAGAGAGAGAGAGAGAGAGCGAACAAGGTTAAATAACCTTTATCAGACTCTATATTCTTCAAACAATAGTCTATCTATTTCCCATGCTTTCTCTCTCTCTCTCTCTCTCTCTCTCTTTCTTTCTTTCTTTCTTTCTTTTGTTTTTGGTTTTTTGTTTATTTTTTGGGACAGGGTTTCTTTGTAGCATTGGAGCCTGTCCTGGAACTAGCCCTTGTAGACCAGGTTGGCCTCACAGAGATCTGCCTGCCTCTGCCTCCCGAGTGCTGGGATTAAAGATGTGCGCCACCACCACCTGGCCCTCCTATGTTTTCCATAAAAAATAAAAATAAAAGGAATGTCTTTTGGAGTACCCTAATGCCACTAACAAAATATTCTCTTGGGCTGATGGTAGTGTTTGCCTAACATGTGAAGGCCTGGGCTCAATCCCCAGCACTGCAGCACAGACACACACTCAAACACACACGCAAATTCTCTTAGAAGCAAAACTATCTTAGCTAGATTATTATCTGGCCAAACACACAATTCCACTATAAGAATTACAACACTGAATGCATACTATACAATCTGTTCTTACTCTAAAGAAACATCAATATAAACCATTTATATCAAAGCAGTTATTTCCTTTTTTTGTTGTTGTTGTTTTTGTTTTCCAAGAGAGGGCTTCTCTGTAGCTTTGGAGCCTGTCCTGGAACTAGCTCTTGTAGACCAGGCTGGCCTTGAATTTACAGCAATCGGCCTCTGCCTCTTGAGTCCTGGGATTAAAGGCATGCGCCACCACCTCCCGGCCTAAGCAGTCATTTCCTAAGAAATATTGACAATATATTTAAAGTACAGTGTCTACAACATGCATGCTAAGGCTGAATGGGCCAGTAATTAAATTTGTCACTTTGGATACACTGAGTTTTTCTGGTATTCATCCTATCCTGAAAAAGCCTAAAACAGTACAGTACAAAACGGTCATCCGCAGTGATGTAAACATTGCACTTCTCTACTGCAGCCTCCTGGTCATAACCACATGACCTCTGAACAAATGGAATGAAGTGACCCCAGAAAGTGCTTTAAATTTTCATTAATTTTTTTTCAGCACTGGGGATTAAACCCAGGGTCCTTTGCATGACAAGCAAATGTTTTTACTACTAACCTAAATCCTCAGCCCAACAGTTTAAAGTTAAAGGCTACATGTGAGCTGGGCTTGGTAGTACACACATCTGTGGTCCAACATTAAGGCAGAGGGAGACATATGGATCATGAATTTGAGACCAGTTTTGCTTAGCAAGACCCTGTCTAAAAAACAAAAAGATTACATGAAGCTAATGGTTCCTATACTGGACCATGCCAGCCAAGACTAGCACTCAAACATCACTCACATCAACTCTCTTTTATTTAGAACTCAGAAAACTAAGTCCACAAACCCAGCTTATTTCTGGCGTCTACTCTGGAAATCTTCCAAATTAACAGTATTGCCAGGACCAGTGTGTACAAGAATCTTACCTGGAAGTAGTTACAGTGTGCATAGGAAGAGGCAGTAGGAGTGACACAGCTACTTAGGGCATCCATGTGGGTGGAAGGAGAGCAGCACTGTAGCACAGCTGGAACAGATTCAAATACAAACAAGTCATCAACCAAATACAATACAGCACTCAAAGAACTTCCTTCCTGTTGTACACACACACACACACACACACACACACACACACACACAAATGGGTGCTGTTGATTGCTTAAAAAACATGGTTATGGTCATATAATAAATTTAATTAATTTATTTTTTGAGACAAGATCTTGATGTATATTCCTGGCTGACCATGAACTCCTGTGATCCTCTTAGCTCTCTTCTTCTTGAGCTGGGTTTATAAATGTGTGTACCTATACCTAGCTGTAATAAATTTTCAGAAAGTTATGTCTATGTTTTTAATTTATTTTTTGTTGTTGTTTTGAGACAGGGTCTCATGCAGCCCACGCTGGTCAAAAATTCACTCTGTAGCTGAAGATAACTATGAACTCATGATTCTCCTGCCTCTACTTCTCACATGCTGGGATTACAGGCATGAGCTACCCACCTAGTGTATGCACCGCTGGGGATCAAGCCTCGGGCTCTGTGTACAAGAGGCTGGTATCTACTGACCATGCTCTGTCCTCAGCCACTAAGTGGTTCTTCAGTGCTTAAGTATATTGTGACTTTTCTAACCAAATAGTTATTCTTATTGAAAGTAATTTCATTTCACTAAAACCAGAAACTATATTTTTAGTTCCTAAATAATTGTTTCAATCATTTTGGCAACTATTTGGAGAGGGAAGGCTTTAAAAGTAAAGTAAGTAAACATATTCTCCAATCTATCAGTACATGATGTATTTAGTAGAGAAACATGCAGTGGTTAGGAACGTGGATCCTGGACTCAGCCTGCCTGGTTTTGTGTCCTGGCTCCATAATTAGTATTTTATAAATCTGAACATGGTTAATCACTTCAGGTCTCACTGTTTGCATCCTGTTAAAACAGGGGTAATAACAGAACCTACTAGCATGGCTGCTTCAAGTAACAACGTAATGAGCTTAGGACAGTAACAACAACAATCAATAAATGTCAATAGCCAATGTTTTAATGAAAAATGTGTGTAGTACTAGGTAACAAACTCAAAAATAGATCTTGCAAACCTTTCCCTATGGTTAAGACACCATGAACAGATGAAACTCTTTGTACAGGAACAGTAAACTTACAGGTGCAGTCAGTCTGACTACACTGAGCTCTTTTCTGGAGAGTCTCTCCAGAATGAGTGAGAGTCAGTTACAACATCACACCTTTGGGGTAAACAGAAGATGATATGTGTTGAATGCCCACCATGCTTCAGTCACAATGGTGGGTGCTTCATATGCATTTTTATCAAACCAATCAGCCTGACATTACTTTACAACTAAAATTCAGAGATATTAAGAAATTTGTCAACAGTAACAAGGCTGATGTTCTAGCAGACTCATTTTCTCCTGTACTTGAATCAATATGCTGGGAAATAAAGTACATCCATAAATAGTTAACTATGGAGGATTTGTAATGTGGGGTTCCCCTTTGTATGCTGTGAATACGAATGGTTAATTAATAAAGAAAACTGCCTTGGCCTGTTGATAGGGCAGATCTTAGCTACGCAGGGAAAACTAAACTGAATGCTGGGAGAGAGAAAGCGAAGTTGGAGAGAAGCCATGTAGCCCCACTGGAGACAGATGCCAGAACTTTAGCCAGTAAGCCACAGCCATGTGGCTTAATACACAATTTATTAGCCAGTAATAGCTGGGTGGTGGTGGCACACACCTTTAATCCCAGCACTCAGGAGGCAGAGGCAGGCGGATCTTTGTAAGTTCGAGGCTAGCCTGGTCTACAAGAGCTAGTTCCAAGACAGGCTCCAAAGCTACAGAGAAACCCTGTCTCGAAAAACGAAACAAAACAAAACAAAAAAAGAGTTAGCCAATAAGAAGCTAGAGCTAATGGGCCAAGCAGTAATTTAATTAATACAGTTTCTGTGTGATTATTTCAGGGCTAAGTGGCCACGTACTAACTAGAAGCCTCCTTACAACAGATCTGCAGGGATGTCAAAACTGGGAAGAAAGGACATTTCCCCTCCAGTTATTACTAAGGAAAACCTAGCCCCCTAGTGGCAGAAAAGACCTAGTCAAGAGCTGCAGGTTATTGTCTCCTAATTGTACTGAAACACAAAACTTCATTACAAATAAACTAATCCAAAGACTACATTTATTTTTCTAATATTCCAATAGTATGACTCTACTGTCTAAATATTTTGAATGTTAAAATGCTCTCTAGAAAATTTGCTGGAGAAATAAAAGTACAATATAGCTCAGAGAATGTCATTATAATAGAGTTGACAAATGAGTCTTGTGTGTAAGAAAACAGCAAACCATGAATACTATTCAGCGTGTCCAGTAAGAGATGACAAATGGTATGGGAAGGAGAGTCTGTGAAGCCACACTTTCCAAAGACTCCTGCTCCCAGTGCAGTCCACTTTGTAGTCAATTGAAAGAGTGTGCTATCAGCAAGTATGCGGAACAGGAATATCTAGGTGCCAAAATCCAAGTTTGTGCTTAGCATATGAAAAATTAATGTACTGTGAATTATGAAAACAATAACATTAAGAAACCAAGTTATCACCATGTTCTAAGACACACTCTCCTATATCTTGCTTTGTCTTCCTGAAGGTGCTCTCTCAAGGCATCCAGCTTCCTGTATAAGAAAAAGTGTATGCTGGCGGTGGTGGCGCACGCCTTTAAACCCGGCACTCGGGAGGCAGAGACAAGTGGATCTCTGTGAGTTCGAGGTCAGCCTGGTCTACAAAGCGAGTTACAGGACAGCCAGGGCTGTTACATAGAGAAATACTGTCTCAAAGAGTAAAAACAAAACGCCTGGCTCTATGGAAATAATTTAAACATATGTTTCAGATTTGAATCTATTCCAGGGCAGTGCAGTGTTAATAGTGAGTGAATGTCCAGTCACACAAATGCTCTGGGAATACAGCCCCTCATAGTCTTTCAGCTTCACAGTGGTGTACAGGTGATATGAACTCAGTGTAAACCACACACTGAGACCTTATGTGTTCCACAGCTCATTACTTCTGAGATGCTGAGCAGCAACAGTGAGCCTCAGCTCCCAACATCTGATACCCTATAATGCCCTACTAGTAAACTATGAAAGTTCTGAATGTTAAGATCAAATGCATTTTAATAGCTTCAACTTACAATAGGGTTATAGCACATATTGTCATAGTCCCATCCTAAGTGGACGTGCATCTGCATACCCAAAATAAATAAAAGTAGAAATTTTTTCTGTTGTTTTGTTTTTGTTTTTTGAGACAGGGTTTCTCTGTGTAACAGCCCTGGCTGTCCTGGAACTCACTCTGTACACTAGACTGGCCTTGAATTCCGAGATCTGCCTGCCTCTGCCTCCCGAGTGCTAAGATTGAAAGTGTGCACCACTACTGCCTAGCCTGAAAAATATTTTTAAGTTGGGTATAGTGATGCAAGGCTGAACTCTCAACACTCAGGAATCTCAGAAGGGAGGACATGGAGTTTGAAGCTAATCTGGGATTAACAGCAATGTCCTGTCTCAAAACAAAACAAAACAAAAAAAAAACCCAAGACATTCTCTACCCAAGTTCAGAATAGCAATAGTCTACAAAAGTGGGACCAACTTAGACTCCTTCAACAGATAAATGAATAAATATCAATACTTGTATGTAGAATTATCATTCCTCTTCAAAAAGGAAAAATTTGACACATAATACAAAATGGATGAATCTTTAAGATATTTTGATGAGGCTGGTCAGTGGTGGCACACACCTTTAATCCCAGAACTTGAGAGGCAGAGGCAGGAGAATCTCTACGAGTTTGAGGCCAGCCTGGTCTATAGAGCAAATTCCAGGAAAACCAAAGCTACACAGAGAAACCCTGTCTTGGAAAAACAAACAAACAAACAAACAAATAATCAAATAAAAAGTGATGAGAGTCTTTAATCCCAGCACTGGGGAGGCAGAACCACAACTTGAGAAACTATTTCAAATAATAATGATGATAATGATGATTATAAGCAACTCCTTTGTCCAAGAGCCAATTCAAATACAATTTTAAATAATGAAAAATATTTTTAAAATAAAAATATTCAAATATTTTATGTATCTTGTATTTGAAGATTTTAATTATGTATACATCTTCATGTGGGTTTGTATATATGAGTGCAGGTGCCTATGGAGGTCAATAAAGAACACTGGGTCCCCTGGTGCTAGAGTTACCGGCATTTATAGATCAACTCTCAGTCAGGCCCCAAAGCATAAATTTATACAAATTATTTAGTCCTGCCGGGCGGTGGTGGCGCACGCCTTTAATCCCAGCACTCGGGAGGCAGAGGCAGGCGGATCTCTGTGAGTTCGAGACCAGCCTGGTCTACAAGAGCTAGTTCAAGGACAGGCTCCAAAGCCACAGAGAAACCCTGTCTCGAAAAACCAAAAAAAAAAAAAAAACAAATTATTTAGTCCTTATAGTCTTAGTTGCTAGCCTCATTTAAAAGACTAATTTTGAAAATATTTATCGTGTGTGTGTGTGTATGTGTGTGTTTAGAAGCCAGAGGTTGATGTCAAATATCTTCCTCAATCTCTTTCTACCTCAATGTTTGAGGGGCTGATACTGGAGCTCACAGCCTCAGCTAAGCTGCCTAGCCACCAAGCCCTAGAGATCCTGTCTCCATTTCCCAGTATGAGGACTACAGGCACATACTGGACGTCACTGGGCGTTTTATATGGATGCTGGGTGTCCAAACTCAGGTTCTCAAGCTTGCGATACTGATTGAACCATGTCCCCAGCTCTTGTGCGTGTGTGTTTGCTTTTTGAGAGAGGGTCTCATACAGCCCAGACTGGCCTTGAAATCAGAACCAACTACCTCCATATCTCAAGCGCTGAGATTATAGGTGTGTAGTGCCATACAGGCTAAAATATTTTATCCTTTACATGTTAGTCATGTTTTAATTTTTACAAAACCTATTCATGGATATTATTCAGTTTCTGGCCCAAACTATTATGGCTTCCGTCTAGGATGAG